TTTAATTGTCATGTCAAGATGTGAATATTAGGAAGAAAAATAGTACGGAGTATTATTCTAATAATAATAATAATAATAATATACAGAGTAATTCATAGTTCCCAAAAGGTTGAATTCCGATCCCAATCCTAAAGGCCCCCACGTCTCGACCCGACAAAGCATACGAGAGGATGTAAATCAGCTTAGTGCGCACAAGGAGCCCCTTACTTTGAGAGGTTGCTCCCACACTGTCGCGGGTGAGACTCAATCACAAGTCATTATTCCCAAACTTCACTCCTGTAATCAACTGAGCTGCCCATGCTGAATATACAGAGTAATTCATTCTTCCAAAAGGTTGAACCCCAACCCTAAGGGCCCCCACACCCCGATCCGACAGAGCATTAGTGAGGATGTAAATCATGGTAACTCAACTGAACATGAACCACAGAGGCTGGACCTTTGCTTACTGTGTACAAGGAGCCCCTCATTTTGAGAGATAGCTCTCGCTTACTGTGTACAAGGAGCCCCTCATTTTGAGAGATAGCTCTCACACTGCCGCTGATTCAGAGTAATTCATAAGTAAATTATTAGGTGTGTTTCGGGCTATAACTTTTTAAACTTTAGAATTTAATAGGCTCTTTAATTTCGGCGGGATTAATCCCGTGATTGTTGCTTTCTTCAGTAATGAGCAATGGGGGCGATGAGGGAATGGCAGCGTGGCAAGTGGGCATACAAAATTAAATCATTTCTTCAACTCTATACACAAACGACCATATATACGTGCAGTATACTTATATTATTATAAAGTAAAAAGCCTCGTACGGACTATAGTCTATTAATGTTATTTGATTTCTAGAATAATATTTTAAAACATATAAAATTAATTATTTAATATATCACCTTAGTACTATTATACCTTACCAAAGATGCATATATATAATAATAATTATACTAATAATAATGCACCATTTTTATGACTAAATTAATATTTGTGTATTGAATGAGACGTCTGAATTGAATCAGAACAAATACTGCTCAACTATTTTAGTTTTTAGTCAATTCTATGGTTTTATTCATTCTCTCTTTTTATTGTTTTTTTTTTTTTTAATTTTATATATCTTGAACTAAGAAATATTCCTCAATCAATTATTTTATTGAGTTTTCATTAAACTATGAGTAATATCTACCCTTTAGTCACTCAAATTTAGCGTCAGAACAAGTAAAAAGCGATTATATTTAGTCTAACAATCATGGCTCATCTAGTATATATTATTGTAACTCAACTTTATATTACAATCAACAATACACAAATTACCATATTTTTGTTTTATAGTAAACTTTAGAATAGAATATAAAATGAGACTAATTCTAAGACTAATTAAACCTCAAACTAACCCTACGCATGTACACACATGCACACAAATTCTAGAAGAAACCATTTTTTTTCAATCATTTGATATAACCAAAATATATACTTCAAACTTGATCTCTCTCTTTTTGATAGTACACACTTATATAATACGAAGTAATTTCTTATGTGTCAACCAATACAATCATATATGTTAATTGAGTTGTATTAGGTGTTTAATGCAATCAAACATATTATATGTCTATATAGTTATATTGTACTTGATGGGAATTATTCTTGACTATATCACACTGAATACTTAGTCAGTATCAAAGCTCCTTGCCGAGAGGATTGGTATCCGAGCGTGGCCAACCTCTTGACACATCTACCCGACCTAGATCGTTGAGCCAAACATAGTTCTGCCTATCAGCAAAGTCTGCTTGTCATTATTTCGCCCCGATCATATTTGGTTGGACCGACCATCTGACCCGCGATACTTGAATCTTTAAGCATTGCTCACTTAGCCAAATTCAATAGCGGTAGACCTGGTAATTAAAGTCATGAATCTTTAGGCACGTGGAAGGGTCAGTCTGGGCATGTGCCACTTCATTCATCCTATAAATACCGCATTAAATACGGAGATGAGGGACTTTTAGGCATCTTTTACACGTTTGAATTTAGCTCGAGAACCTCTGATTTGATCCACTGTCACGTAATCCGAGTCGAAAGACTTAAACAAACAAACTAGAACAAGACCCCATACGATCAGCCGTGCGAGAACCTCTGACCCACTGTCACGTAACCCGAATTGAAGGACATAAACAAACAAACAGACTAGAACAAGATCCCCTGTATGTACTGTACGTATCCATAGGAATCACCGTATTTACTACATTAGTACTCAATATGAAAAGTATCTACACCTCAAGTTGGTAGAGGAAGACAAAGAAATGACAGAGGCCGGAGTTTGGTGCACGTTTGGGAAAGGGTGTTGGAGTCAAACAGTGGTGGTTGTGTGGTGGCACCCAAGCTTCTTAATTTGGCCTCTACACAATATTATTATATTTTTAGGGTTCAGGCTAAAGCTTGTTTTTAGTGTGGGTACATGAGGCCCACCATCCGGACACGGGTATGGTATTGGTATGAGATTCCATCTATCTCCCCCGATAACGATGCTTTATGCTCCCTAATTTTTTATTAATTGCCTTCCCATACTTCCTTATTTTATCATTAGTGCTCTAATTATTGTGCTCCCTGAACCTTCTTCTCATCTTCTTCTGCTCTCCCCTTTGCTTAACAAATTCTGTTAATATATTCTACGTTTGTACTTAGTGACTGTTGTTGGCGTGGTATTGTTACTAAAAAATTTGAAGGTGGACGTGCATTTTGTAGTATTTAATTTTGGGGAAATTAAAGTTTTAGCAGTGTTCTATGTACCATCCGAAATTTAATTAAAGAAGTAATGTGGGGTTGTTAGCATGCAACAATAATTGTAATTAGGATTGATATCCCAAATGAAGAAGATTGGTCTACCATACTATGCATCTTGTAGAAGACACTTCCATGGGTTATCCAGAATGATGAGATAAGGATGGATTATATATAATTTTTATGTGTCGGAATACGTGTTTAGTAAAATGCCAATCCTTAAACATGAAGTATATAATCTAAGGTTGAATGTCGAAATTTAATATATTTTGCTGAAAACCTAAGTTTCGATCCTAAAAAAATAGACAGGAATTTAGGGGTGGTTTAATTCATTTCTTTGTTTTTCATTCTTCAATTTTTTAATTCTTATCTTCATTCCCCTGATTTTTCTACAGTTTTTTTAATTTTCATTCTCTATTTTACCAATTTTTCATTTCTTCAATTTTTTAATTTCATTTTACAAAAATTCAACTTTTAAATAAAAAATAATTCAATACACTAATACTATAGGTGTAAAAGGTAACAAAAATTAATAAAAACATATTACTAAATAAATTGTAACTATTTCAATTACGTGAAGGGATGAAAATGGAAGGAACTGCAATCTGCAGTTATGAACGTGAAGGGAGAAATTGAATAATATTATAAAAGTTAATAAAACATATTACTAAACAAATTATAACTATTTCAATCTTACGATTACTATCCTTATTGATTACATAATTTTGTTATTTAAAATTTTTTAATAAAATAAAAAAATATTATTTTAATATAATAATCTCCACATCAGCAAACTAACAGGTAAATAGGTCACTTTTAATTCAATTACATCATTTTACATTATTCAGGAACTCAATTACATATTTTTTAAGCTCAATAGCCTAATTACATTTCCATGTATAATTCAATAACCTATTTGACCCAATGACCCGTATTCCATATTTTTTAAAAAAGATTGTCCTTCCATTGGATTATTTTATAATGGTGGATCCATAGCCAATTTTAACACTTAAATTATTACAATAGTGGCTCTTTTCACCTATAGCTGATGAGAACAACAATTCTAGAATATTATTCGCGCTGAATAAAATTTTTCAAACATGATAGAAGTTTTATATATATATATATATATATATATATATATATATATATATATATATATATATATATATAACATGATAGAAGTTTTATAAAACCTAAAATCACATAAATAACAAATGAATGGTGAAAAGAGCCACCGACTACGGATAAAAAGTGATCGGAAATAATTCAAAGATTGAGTTAGTCATTTTATTTTTATTTTTATAGATTTTCAAGTTGGATTTCGAGAAACTCGTATATCATTGAACAAGGCCAAAGCAAAATACATTATGACTACATGAATTTGGAGCTATAGAACAATCCACGGACAGCCTGATCTCCAGAGAGACTGTCAAAATCTACAGTCTAAGCTATGTTAGGCAGTTTTCAGCAACAGTTGATTTTTATTGTTTTTGTTTTTTCTCACATCAAAGATGGCATAGCTAGCTTTCATTTGTCTGTCCCTCCAAACAGTGAAAGACAAAACATTCACTAATACAACATTAAGGAATCGTTAACATTCAAAAAACCAAAATTCTCACAAATCCAAATCATTCTGTCTATTTAAGAGCAGACAAAAAAGGGTACTCCGTATACAACCTCATTCACTGTGGATGGAACACTGGATAGTGGATACAAACATGATGGAATGGGGAATTGAAGAAAAAGTTTAAATTTATGGAGTGAAACTATATGATGGGGAAAAAAGCAGCCTTCATGGCACAATAAATGGCAGGATAAATAATGAAAGTGGGTCAATGGGGAATATAATCAAAAGAGGAAAACTAAAGAGGTAAAAAGGAAGGGAAGCATGTGTTATGATGTATACACCCCTTACCTCAGTTTTCTACTGTATACTGCAAAGATCCCACCATTGTAAATTTTCATCCCAGCAGCTTGTAGGTCACAAAATCCCTGTTTAGTTGTATATTTTCCCGTGCTTTTCAAAAGTTGACGATTCTGCAATCAGACACATTAGATGCATGGTGATTACTAATATTAGCACTCATGTCCCATAAGGCCATAATGGATATTTTTTCCGTTGTATTGAAAAAATATGAAATAAGAGAACTCTCTAGTCTTCACGATATGAAATAGTAGAAGGCTACCCTGCAGAATGTCCGTAAGCTTGTCAAGTTAGACAGCACTATAATTCACCCGGGAGTTGAGAGGGAGGGGAAGGATATATCATACAATCATATATATGTCTGAAATATAGCCAGTTAATAATCCTCGAAAACGAGCAACATCTACATGTTTCAGTAAGACTGTCTTGGTAATTTGTTACACAAGCCAAGTTGTTAAAAGCAGCCTCTAGGACGTGGCTGCTTGTGCTTCTGGAAGATTCATAGTATTGTGTTAATTTCCTCTAGCTTTCTCCAGGTCAGGAAGATCTGCAATAAAGACACAAATTGGAAGTCACAAGAAGAAGCTGATGGAATTCCTCCCCTTCTATATCTAGACTAAATTGATGTATCCTCTTTTTTTTTCTTCTTTCTCGGAGAAATTGGACTTTTGGGTACGCTAGGGAATTAAAATAAGCAGGTAACTAATGCAAACAAGAAAACCTCAGATTGAATGATATGAATATTGTAGTATTGTAGCAATTGCAGGCAATACAAATATATTAGAGAAACAAAACTAATGCCTTCACATGCAAGATTGTTTAACAGAACAGCCCAGAATTTGAATCCCCCCAAATACCAACCGGAATGAAATAAAGTAAAAGAAATGCAATGCTTTCATATATTCAGGCCATTTCTTAAGTATAAATTTTGAACCACCTTCCCTTGATTAACACAAATTTATATCTTAGGCCAAACTATGTCTTGGAAGAGTGACTTTAGTACTTTACTACTTTAGGAAGGTCAATATAGTGGCATTGTCTTTGACTCTTTGTATATGCACATATGAAGTTTTTAACTTACAAAGCATTCCTCCATCATCACTGCTCTCATCATCTTCACCGCCAGCATACTGCAAGAGCATACCACTCATGTCAAACAACTAATAACAAGTATTTGTATTTTTTGTGCATCATGTAGAGAACAGCATAAGGGATGAAATTACCGCAAAATCATCATCAAGGGCCACATCAGCTGCATGGACCAGAAAATATTTGTTTAGATGTATATACCCATAATAAACAATAAAGATCTTGCACTTAAGCCACACATGAGTATAGTTTTGTACTGATGGCTTTACATCACTGACGTAACATAAATCAGTGCTTAAAGATATTGTGATATCGTATTAAATATTATCAAAAAGGTATATGTCATGTTCAGCAAAGTTAAGTTCTTGTTTCATATACCAATCACATCTAGTTTCAAAGTTGGTGACAAGGTGATGATTTAGGTGGAACTGCATTGTAATTCTCCAAGAGAGGTCAATTTCTAAACCCCAAGCATCAACACATTACAAAAACAAGAAAAAGATTAAAACATTTTACTTCTATATCTATGATTAAAAGGCGTTGAAAATGTGTTTTAGTGTTTTGACAGCATTTTTGTCATTTTTGTAAATTTCACTCTGCAGACTCCATTCCCAAAACTTTAGAAACATCTATTCCTGAAATACAAGAAAAATCAGTTATCAGATCATGCTGATAAACATCCTCTTCCATGCATAATTTTTGCATTCTAAACACCAAACACATTTATTTTTCCTTGCTTCAATCCCATCCAAAACAAAACTAAAGCTGGACTTAAAAGCATAGAAGAACATAGATCAGCAAGCTACTAATTAATTCCCACTCTTTTTATGTCTTCTTTCTACTACCCACTTTTGACTGCATACCTGGCACTAATGATAGTAACAATAACATATTTAGTTTTAAGATGCATCTTTTCAGCCCCTGTGCCATCACCAAATTCATCATGTTAAACAATTTTGCATTCCCATTTCAATGTACGGGAATGGTAGCTCAAAATCCCTTGTGCCATTATAGAGAAAACAAAGTTGTTTATAGATTTTTTTCTGTTAAAGAACTTGAGGAACTTTATACACCTGAAAAATGCACCATAATATTATAGATTTCTTTCAAGTAAAACCCATTGGATAGAAACTTACAAGAATCTTCATCGTCTTCATCACACCACTTGTTCCAATCAACCTTAATGTATGGAGCAGGCTTTTCTTCCGACTTCAATAATCTTGGCCACCAAGACTTTTGCTCCTTCTGAACTGAGCATAGAATGTTCCTCAAACCAATATTGGTTTTACAAGCCTGGAATAAACATTCAGAGAAAAGGGAGTGTGAATGGAATAACAAATACTCTGAAATTGTTAAATAAGAAACATATTAAAGCATGTTCAGGGACAAATATCAATGGCATAGGCAACATTGAATTAATTCAAACAGAAAGTTCCAGCCAGTACAGTTGTGAAGCTTATTTGATACAGACTAACTGGCTAATAGCAAACCCCACATATGGACATTTAGCCATTCAACATCTCTATTAAGGCACTCAAATATGTATACATGTGTTTCATTAAGTAGTTAAGACCTAAGACGTTATTATTTCAACAATATCTCAAATTATTACTCATTTAAATTTTTGTAATCAGAGAACTGTTGTAAGATCACTAATTATGAACACATTCCAAGTTTAATCACAAAGTGAAAGTGCACAATAACATAGCAGTTAGTACTTATCACCAAAAAGGTCTAATGCATACTAAAGTCACCCTTCAGAGAATCAGACAACAACTGCATTGTACCTCAGGCTTCATAAGGAGTACTAAACAGGACAGAGAACTGCTACTTTGGTTTAATAAGCAAAACAAACAAAAACCTGGGGGGCAATATTGCCGTAGAGCTGGAGAGAGAAGGAGAAGGGTTCTCCCTGTGCGCCGACCGCGGAGAAAGCGAAGAGTCCTGCCGCCTCCGGCGTGACGGAGATGTCTTTGGCATCCGGAAGAGAGACGGTCAAGTAGACCTTGTCGGATCGCTGAGCCCACAGCACCTCCGGCTGCCGGCTGCAATTTTTTCCAGTTTCCATTTTCGCAAAGGCTATAAACAAATTTTGCATACGAAATGAAATTTCTTACGAAGTATATTTATAAAAAAAAAAAAATGCAATAGCTCATTATCATTTGTGAGTGAAAAAGGGAGAGACGAATTTTGATCATGGAGAAACAAACCTAATTAGCAGAAGAAGGTTGTACTGGTTGTATCAGAAATCTCCGGCGAGCGTACTTGTTAAGCAGAAGTCCGAAGTGAAGAGACGAGGAAGCTAGGGATGTGAACCGGGAGAGAGGTGAAGTGACTGGGGTCCGACTTCATACGCGCGCGCTACTCCGCATGAAACCAAAAACCTTCTTTTACAATTTTTTAATATAAGAAAAGGGACCATATTAACTTTGACTTCTGCTAGATGTAGTGATGTACTTTCAAATTTTATTTATTTAAGGGATGTTTGGTTAGTAGAAAATATTTTTCTTAGAGTAGGGGAAAATATTGTTTTTTGGTATTTGATTTATAGAATTTATTTTTTATTGGAAAATGAATTCCTTAAATTTGGGGAAAACCAAGAATTTTGGTTTTCAGAAAAGATGGAAAGAAAAAGTGATATAGATTGTTTATTTTATCCTTGTTTTTTTTAAAAAAAAATTATAGAGAAAAGGGTCAAATGGGTCCTTAAGGGTCAATAAAGTCCAAAAATTGATAAATGACATGTTATTACAGGTCATTTCAATTCCGACGACAGATTCCGGCCACCGGCGATGAATTCCGGTCATCGACGACAAAATCTGGCTGTCCGGTGACCGAACGGCCGCCTTCTCCAATGGAGAATCCAGTGGAAGACGACCGGACGGCCGGATTTTGTCGCCAGTGATCGAATTTTTTCGCCGGTCGCGCGAAATTGAAATGTACCGGTTTTTGAGCTTCATTGACCCAATTTGACATGTTTGAGAGTTTAATTGCACTTTTGTAAAGTTTAGGGACTAATTGACATTTGGGGTAAAGTTTAAGGGCCTATTTGATCATTTCCTCTTAATTATATTACTCTTATTAATTTGTAGAGGCATATAGATCTTTATACTGGTTATTCTTTACAATTCCAAATCTAACCAAACAATAGAATTAGTATTCCCAATAATTCTTTTTCCACCAACCAAACAATGAAATTCATCTTCCAGTAATTGTTTTTCCATGAAATTTCAGTTCCATTTCCCTTAAAATATTTTCCGCGAACCAAACGAACCCTTACTCTTTATTTCTTAATATGACAAATAAAGATTGATTATTTTCGTCATATGAATCTACAAAAAAATGTCTATATTAAAAACTTGTGAGATGAAGTAAAAGTTGAGAGTATAAAATAAGAGTCCACCGAGTATTTCTCATTAACTTTCCAGAAAGATTAATGGCAAATTATGCCATCCAACCGGGTTAACATTGTATTATGTATCATGGTCCAAAATGACATTCAAATTATTAATTATATATATGTAAATAAGCTAAATATACATTAAAAAAAAATACATTGATAATGTATATATGCTGGACCGAGCAGGTAACGACCCGACCGTTAACCAACCAGCTCTGATCTCTCTCCAAATAGAGCTAGAGACCGAGACAATTTTCGATCAGTCGGTTAGTGTGACCAAAAACTCACATTTAGAATCGAGAAGATAACCAGCCTCTTTGCTTGCTTCACCGAGTACAAGGCCCTTGATGCACTGTCTAATCACCGCTCGTCTACCTTTTTCCTTATATTGAAACACTTGACGACACCTCTCTAACCGGCCAACCTATATCTTTCACGTAAAAGACATGCCGGATCCTCGACATGCGTCTCCAACCACGTAAAAGGCACATTTATTACTGAGAAAAAATGACTTTTAGTATAACCTTACTACCCTATACATAGCCGATCTGACACCAAAACTTTTAGTAACTAAACAAATTAACTAGCCCACAACATTTTCCATTCACAACAACAATGCCCTGACACCAAAACACCAAATACTTTGAGCAAGACAGATTGATCTCTAAACTATAAAGCATACAATATATTATTGCATCTTAGCAGCCAATTTGATTTAAAAGAGTTCTAAAAAGTGCATTTTAAAACCGCATGTTATTGTATGTCTCGGAAATAAAGACCCACTTTGCCATTGACTTTCCAGTTTCCACGGAAGATTGCTATTGACTTAAAAAGAGTTTTAAACAATTAACCGTTAACCTGTCATCAAGAAAGTTAAGCAGCCCATGGAACTTAACAGATTTATTCAAAAATATGATGATTCCAAAAAGATGATAACAATACTCTGTAATTTGGTGAATTTTTGGAGGCTTATGTAGTCTATGTAATTCGCTAAGACATTGTATAACTAGTTTTGAAAGGGTGTCATTAGAATTATATTCAAGAATCAAAATGAATATAATGTGCGTTCTATTTTCTAACAGGATGGGAGCCCCTTGGGGCAAGGGAGCACACAGGTAAATTAGACATCCAAAACCCATACTAGTATATGGCATTAAAATTCCAAAAAATTAGATATACTGAAAACCACGTTTTTAAAGAACTGGCTCACCCTATCTTCTCTTCAATTCCCAGATTTCTGATTTCTTCATATCGCCCATCTACAACAGCAAAACAAGGGATTCCAAATATTTATCAACATAAAATGAGAGCTTGATTCCAGGAATGCCAAGATCATTGAAGACTCTAGTATTTGGACAGTAGGAAACCAGCTCACTTTTGTTAGTAGATAGCAAAAATTCACCATTTTTCCTAAAGCCAACAATTTTTTCCATCCTTCCCACCAATTCTATAGTATGCAGCCTAGTCCAAGAATCCACAACTCCATACTCTTTCATTATCCACAATTCACACGAACCACCATGTATCCTTCTACTATACTTAACAACAGCAACAAACTCCTCAAACACCATAATAGATAAATTTGATGGGTTCACCGGAGCCAATTCATCTGGGAGCAAAATCTCATCAAACAACTCATCAGCCATGGTGAAAACTACAATCAAACTCTGAAAACCTTGATTCTCGAGCAATTTGTACCCAATCCAATGTACTGCTCCATTGATAAAAACCTGAGTCCAAACGTGATAGACCATATAGTAGTTCAACCCAGTTGCTGTTATCCTTCTCCACAGCCCAGTACTGAGAGAAAAGATCTCAACCTTAGGCGGGATTCTGCATTTATCCAAATGAACACCTTTCCTTGCATACACAACTCTCACCACCTTAAGATCATCATCACTTCGTGGACTAGCACCGAATCCAAGTACAAACCTAAATGGGTATGCTGGCCTAATCGAGGGACGAGGTAAGGTCCTAAGCTTCCGAATACTGGGATTCCACAGGGTTACATTACGACAATCGACTTTATGATCATCCGATAAACAAACGACGCCGTTATAGAAGCCAACTGTACGAAAATACCCGGATAGGCTTGAAATTGGGAGGCTAAGTTCGAAGGAATTATTGAGGGTGAGTAATTGGTGGTCAGTGTCGTTGAGTACGGAATATTTTTCCTCATTGTAGGATTTATCATAACGTCGGAGGAGGAGGAGGTTAGTGGCGGAGTTACCGTTCCTATGGTGGCGGCGATGGGCGGAGATGAAGGCGGGGCTGGTGATGATGAAGTACCAGGATTTGGAAACGGCGGTGAAGCGTAGAAGGGACTTGACTGGGAGACTTTTGAGGATTTCGATCTGGAGCTCCTCCGGAAAATGGTGGTGATCAGACATTGTTCAATTTGGAAATTTGGCTCTGCAACTTGTGAGCACGTAACCCTAACTCTACCGTTTAGAGAGTCGAAGATGATAACCCGCAGACGGCAAGCCCAGAATGTAATCGTCCAGTTTTTTTAATTCAAACAAATTATTAATAATTGTTTCAGTTGTCACCACAAGTGGTAGTATAGTGGTGAGTATTCCCGCTTGTCACCTGGGTGACTCGGGTTTGATCTCGGCAACGGCGAAGTGTTTCTGTCATACTTCGAACAGATACTAAAGTCAGAATATATCTGTCAGTCCCTTGTGCTAGTGACCTCTCTCGCATGGGAGATCGAGCTCCAACCCTAGCCCTTTATGCTCATAATGTAGTGACCTCTCCCACGTGGGAGATCGAGTCTGAGCCCCAGCCCCTTGTGCTCATAATGTAGTGACCTCTTTCGTCATACTTCGAACAGATACTAAAATCAGAGTATATCTGCCAGCCCCTTGTGCTAGTGATCTCTCTCACATGGGAGATCGAGCCCCAACCCCAGCCCTTTGTGCTCATAATGTAGTGACCTCTCCCACGTGGGAGATCGAGTCTGAGCCCCAACCGCTTGTGCTCATAATGTAGTGACCTCTTCCATATGGGAGAGATCGAGTCTGAGCCCCAGCCCCTTGTGCTCATAATGTAGTGACCTCTTCCATATGGGAGATCGAGCCCGAGCCCCAGTGGAGTCGCTGACTTTTTGTGCTTCGTGCTTCATTAAGTTGAAAAAGTATGTTTGAACAGGTACTAGAGTTTTGTTTTTCATAGAATTAATTGATGATCAATTATCTCTAAACAATTTGACAGCAAGCCGCCTAACAATTAAACTTGTTTGCTATTAGCTTCTCTCTATCTATGTTGCAAGCTTGGGATGAGTCACAAAATCTGAGTGGATCATATGCAGTTGCATTTCCCTTTACAGAAATCATATGCTACCAAAACCCAAAGCTTTATAAACCCAAAAACCTATAAAGTTCACCCAAAATTTTTGGGCAAAGGAGCCGATTTAAGTCCTCTGTCATTAGGCTCAGGGGTTCGGGAATATCTCCGGTTTCTATGCTCCTTCAGCTTAACAGAAGGAACCTTCCTTGCAATGGCCTGCCAGACCATTTGGACAGCATCGTTGTCCTTCGAGGGATAACGATACTCGAACATATGTTCAACCTCTTTGAGCTTATTCCACATCCTAGTCCACTCTTGTTTTCCAATACTCCTAACGAAGTTTATGAGAAAGCTTTCTTTGAGAGCGTCCGATGTTCTGACAAAAACGCAGAACTCTGAGTAGTCGAGTACGTCTTCGTATGGAAGCTCTATCTCGTCGCTGATGATGACAGGAACGCAATGGCTGACAATAGCATCAAAGAGACGGTTTGATGAGGGAGTGTCACCGGCAATATTGAGGCAAAACTTGGAGGACTGCATCCCACGGGTTGCTTGGCGTATGCCATCCTTTTGAATGTTTCCAAATGCGAAATGTACATCTTTCTCGTCTTTTAACTTATAGAACAATTCTTGCCGAACAAATCCACCCTGAGGAACGAAAATAACAGAATTACATATGGAGTGGATCAGTGGATGGTATATAAAAAGAGGAAGTGAGAGGCAATAACAAGTTATAGGCTGCCAAGGACCTTGTGGTCTAGTGGCACCAAGTTGCTTTTCCATATGGGAGGTTGTGGGTTCGAGCCTCAGTGGAGACGGTATTAACTCTTTGTGCTTTAGTAGGTTGAGAAAGTAGTTATGAACATATACTACATTGTAACAAAGTCAGTAGTATTCAAAAAAAAAGTTATAGGCTAATGGCCATCTGACAAATAGCTTGACCAAAGACGTTATTTCTATTTTTGTGCTTAGGAAACGCGACTGCGTTTTATCCTTAATACCAACAATTTCTAAATGTAGCTAACCAGATTCTATATCATGGACAGCACTCAAATAAAAGCCGATGTCCTTCAACTCATTATTCTGATCAATTGTATCATTTGTATAAAAACCTATAAGGCCATACTTCTCAAAGTAGCTATCTAGATTCTATATCATAAACAGCGTTTGGATAAAAGGTTGCAAGGCTGGTTTCAGTCAACTCATTACCAGAATAATTGTAATAATTTGTATAAACTCCAATAGGACTGACCATATATTCTAAATGCCAAATTACATGAACCCTAAGATGGTTACTAATATATATCACTTTCAAAACTGTATCGCTGCACTCCATCAATCAATGAATACAATAACATATCACTCTTTCGTGGATCTAGAAGCCTGTTCTCCATTTGATTGATGCACTGACTTCCACTGAATCAAAACTATACAAAAGGCTATAAGGTTCCAAATGATGACTTCTTGCACAATGATACCACTCGGAAACTATCACTACAGTCACTTGGCTAAAGTGTTTTTTTTTAGTACTACTGACTCTATTACAGTGTAGTATCTGTTCATAACTACTTTCTCAACCTACTGAAGCACAAAGAGTCAATACCGCCCCTACCAGGGCCTCCCATTTGGGAGAGCCACTTCGTTCGATAAAACAAGAATAACAAACATAAGTAGATCTCGATGATGAAATGTGCAAAAATTAAAGAATGAACCTAGAATTCATTATAATCCATGAAATGATATCAGTGGCAACTGAAAAGAGTGTTGTTAACTTACATCTTTTCTATATATAGCTCCCTGGAAGTATAGCAAAGTTGGACGGCTATCAAAATCAGACGAGTCATTTACATAGTTCCCGATGACATGCTTGTAAGGCGCAATCACGTCTTTCTCAACATTAGCTACAGAAGGGGGATACCTTCCAAAGTCGGAAAGAATGAACATAGCTGGCCAAAGCTTCGATCGTGCATCCATGAGGCTATTAGGATGGTGAGCGAGAACGATATGGTCTTTCCCACCCGATCTTTTCCATTCTTCTTGAGCTGTCAAGAAAGTCACCAATTTTTCTTGCAACAACGCATTCATACTAGTCTTCTGGTGAGGCTTCAGCCTAGAAAACCGGTTATTGCAGAGCGATGAAAAGAACGGGACAAAAACTACATCTGCTTCGCTCGAATTGCACACTCTCACAGCAGTCCGCCCACTCGTATTCTCAACAAACTCCGAATACAAGAGATCCAATGTGAGCCAATACTCTATACTATGCTGCACATTCAACCCACCGGGGTATCTCGGGAGATTAGTTCTAATATCAGGCCAAACATTGTTCCCCTCGGGCTTCCAATCCAAGAGCCCAAAGTGAAATTCTGGGGGCAAATCATACATATACACTTTGAGGACTGGGTCACAAGTATACTTGCTAGATGCTAGTCTTTCTTTCTGTTTGACTTCCAAATCACTGTGTATAGAAAGGGTTTCATTTCCAGTTTGGTCATCTGCTATGGCAAAAATCCTAGAATTGGGCAATATACTAAGGTCAACAAGGAGAGGCCTATCAGTGGATCGCAACACCAAAAACCAAGACAACATGAACAAAATGGTAGTAATGGTGAACAAAGCTAACATTGACTTCTTACCAAAATTTCCCATTGAGTGCACATTTCTCTCCGCCATTGAAGAAACACGGCCGCATTTATGCCCACACCGCCATTGAAAAAACAAACAATGGGTCTATAAGAATGGAGACTTGGGGTGAAAATCAGTGCGAGAAATTAATGCCCAGATCAAAATCTGGGAAGATAGATTTGATTCAATGATGAACAACCAAGTCAGATGTGTATAATTATGACAGGAATTGAAGAATAGAGAGAGACAGAGAAGACAGGGAGTGGTTACACCAAAGACGTTGAAATATTCCACTTCTCTCTCTGTACCATGGTGGAAAAACCCCGTTTCTATTTCATGTTTTCTGACTTTTTGATTGCATTTTTGCATAGAGGAGAAAAAAAACCCGATAGCACAGGGTGACTGGGCGAGTCTCAGAAGAAGCGAAATCGTAGCTCCGGTTTGACAATCTGATGAATAAAAACAAATTCGGACATAGTTCTATATGTGATCCTATGAATCTAAGATATGGTGGTAATTATAAGTTGTCTGTTTAAATGAGAAAGGCTTCAATCATTTAAGAAAATTTGACTGAATTAACTTTATCTTGTAAGACACAGATATTAATATAATATATTTTTAAGAGTTAATTTCAGCAATGATCCTCCGATTATATTGATTTTTCAAAATTAGCAATTCAATGAATATGATGTCCGAAGTCGCGTATATAAGAGAGAAATATGAAGAATTATACATTTGGCAGATGAAATGACTATTTTACCCTTTCATTTAAAGTCCATTTACTTTACCATGACGAAAAGACCTCAATTGGAAAGAAATTGAAAGTCAAGAGACGTAAAGTATCTAAATTAAAAATCGGAAATTAATTTTGAAAAAGCAATATAGTCGGAGGACCATTGTTGAAATTAACTCTATTTTTAATTTAGATATAGAGTAAAATAAAATGATATATAATATAATTCTTTTTATTTCTATCTTTAGAGAGTGTTTGGTAGTAAATAAATTTAAAATTTTTAAACTTTTTTTAAGAAAATTTAAATTGATCAAATGTTTAAAATAACTTTGCAGATAATTTAAAGATAATACCAAGCATATTAATTAATTCAAACATATTTCTTACATTTAAGAAAAAAATTCACATTTTAAAAATAATTTAATATCACATCATCCATCAATCATAATGAATGTTTCCTAAAAGGAGGAACTATATATGGCATCTTTACAGTTTATAATCATCTTATTTTTATATATAATTAATTCGATAACTTTTGTTATACTTAAGAGACAAAAAATACATTCTTTTAAAGAACTACTAGGAAAGAGGTGACAAAAACAGTCATTTTAGACTTTGAAAACCTTGATGTAACTTGAACACAGCGCATGATCTAAATGACCAAATCAAAATCCAGCTAATTGCCAATCAAATTAAATTCACTGCCAACCACACTAATAAACAGAAAACATAAAAGGAAAACCCTTCAAAAATCCAAATTATTGCAAAAGTTTCACACTACAGTAGCATTTATCTGAAATGAGATAGCAACAATGTATTACTGCTGCTTCACCTGAAATTTCAGTGAATGATGATCCCCCTTACATCATATCAAAATAGTATTTTTCTCCAATAGGAGCTCATCTCTAACTACAGAGCTTTAAGTCCACTAGAGAAACTTTAGAATTGGAATTGCATCTCTGGTGTATAACCAATAGCTTCTAGGTGAGCAGCCATGGCTTTGTTCATTGGTGGTGGTCCACACCTCAGTATCTGCAGAGTCGACATGAAATTAGAACTTGCTCTCTCCTCTCCCGATTGCTCTATTTATACATATATTCTCGCCATGTAATGTCGTGGAGTAATACTATATAGTATATAGTAATAACTCGAGTATAGCAATTTAGGGAGATGTATAATACCTGAACATCGGGTGCTGGTGCAGGGCAGTGGGACTGGATCATTTCCTTGGATACGAAACCAACACCGCCATTCCATACCTCAGGAGGCTGCAGAAACATTCGAAGAGGCGGTTAATTTCCTAACTCAGAATACATAGGTAAGCTGAAAGAAAAATGTTTTCAGAGGCATTGTGTATTTAAGCAATGACGACATGTTTGTCAAAACTATAGTCTATAAGCAATAGGGATCACCAAACAAGCTACAATATCTTCTTTTGATCAGCACTACCCAAGAATTGTATCTCAGAGTACTGCTGTCGGGCTGTATAAAGTACGGAACACAAACACAACTCCATTAACCATGAAGCATTGCTGATTGCTTAAATTTCTAGAAATCATTTTCAGAATTTCATGCAAATGGAAACACTGCACACAGTTCACTAGATGTGCCTCTCAAGGAATTAGATTGGGCCAAAGAAACATGTAGATGTAGGTAATAAAGAATTTAAACAAGAATGCCAGAAGAAAAGAATTTGTGTGTGTGTGTGTGTGTGTGTGTGTCTATATATATATATATATATATATATATATATACACACACACACATATACATACATATATCCATAAATAAAAAAAGTATATGAATCTAGAAACCATGTTGACCTGGTTTAGCACATAGTAAACTTTAAAACGATCAGGATAATTGGCAGAAAGTCCATCCAACTCTTCCTGCAAGAAAACAAAAAACAAACCAGCTTCAGAATGTATCAACAATATTAAGCAAACAGTCACTATAAACACAACATCTTGAAGACCATGGGTGATGCTAAATGCCAATGAAGATGGAGTTTTATAATTGAAAATATGGACAGTCATGGAAAAAAAAAAAATTCATTTCACTATTTTAGGGCTGCTCAACACATTATTCATTAAATGCACTGTTCATTAGATGCAACGTTCATAAATTGACAAGAAAAAACAAATTGAATTTCATTATGTTTGTAGAAAAAATGCCATATACACCATATTACCTATTGATTACAATTTTCTTTTTTAAAAGTTTACTTCCTCTTGTTAGATATGTGTAAATAGTAAAAATGTTACAATTCATTACGTCACAGAACTACAGAAGGCATCTACAGTCCCACAGCAGTATAAAAGTTTACAAATTCTCACATTGGATGTTTACTAATAGTCTATTAATTAAAACGGTATCGTTCATAACTTCATTTTTAGTACTCACGTATTGAGTTCATAAAGAGTGTCAAATTCAAAAAGTTCTACTTAGATGCAAAAATCAAAGGACAAAAAGATTGAAGATAGATTGAAAACTACCTTTAAAAGAATATCTTCATATGTTACATTGGCATAGATCAGGTACACCTTAGTATGGTCATTTGGATTTTCCAGAATAGCTCGAGTAACCTAAATAAAAACAAAGAGAAGTGATACCAGTAACTTTTGGCCCGTGATAACTTGTAACTTGCCATTTTGGTTTTCTTCCTTATCTTTATTCTGAATGAATGAATGATAACAATTTATTCCAAAATAGAATATTCCAAAGCTATAACGCACACATTATCACACAAACCTGAAACATCGGGGTAATGCCGGAGCCTCCAGCAAGCATCCCAAAAGCTCTTACTTGGCCAGGCTGGTACTTAAAACGACCCTGTTACAAGAGAATATTCTTGATATAAGAATTCAAAAGTGAACCAAAAACTAGAGCTCAAATGTAAAGTTAAAACTCTGAAAGCTTTATACACAGTGAACAAACTCCTGAAGCATATATTCCCTCTGTCACAAGGCTTAGCATTCACATTTCCCAGGTGAGTAAAAGGTTATCTAACATACTAAAAGATACATGTTGCTATGAGCCTATGACAGCCTCAATTGTAAAAGTGCATGAAGCAAGGAAAAGACAAGTGTTTTTGACAGTCAAAACAAAACAACTTTTTTAAGGCAATAAAGCTATATCCTTCTCTTCACAGACAAAATTCCAAAGGAAAGCATGAACACAACACGATGCAATAATCATGATTCTTAAATGGGCAAACGAGAGCAATACCTTGGGCCCCTTCACTGCCAAATAATCACCCACACGCATCTCTCGGAAATGATGAGACATCCTTCCTTGAGGATACATCTAATTAAACATAACGCATAGCATCAAACCAACCAATAAAGACAAAGATATCCAAATACTTCACTGCTATCACAAGTGTAGCTAATCAAAACAAAATAGATCCTGTTACAATACCTTTATAACTAATTCAAAATATCCAACATCAGAGTCCAAAGTGGTCGGAGTGTACGGCTTGATAACATCTTCACCTAGATTATCTTTACCCCTGTTTTAACAGAGCAGCAGGAAACAATAAATTCGATGGCCATAGAGTTCCTTAATTTCATCAAACTGTAGATACAAATATTTGAAATGCCTAATGTATTAGCCAACCAAACCTGCAACTCATGTGTTGTCCAATGGGTAACCCTAAAACAGAAGTGGGCGTTGGAAGCTCAAATTTAAACTTTGCCACATTATGGCTGAGCTCTGTCCGCTTCACAAGTTTGAATTCCTTGAATTTCTCGGGATCCAAGCATCCTATGAACCAGCCACACATCATTCCATGATTCAGTTCATAAAATAAATCACAAGCAAGCTCAATAGAACAGAAGTTTCGTATAATCAGAATCACACTAATGACTAAAATATATCACAATTGAATTGATAAATACAAGTTGTTAGCATTGGAAACTGCAGTATTGTTATTAATTTACACCTTTAGGCTTCTTGGAAGAGTACACATAATATGCGGCGACACCGGCGGCGATCAGCGCAACCGTAACCCCAATGAAAAAGTTAGCTTCGGCTTTCTCAAAAAACTCCATCGTTTCAATACCTGAAAGAAGGAAAGGAAAGAAGATGAAAGAATGAATAACATTCAGCGTCGTCGAACAAATCTAAACACACAGCTTTACATGAATCTTATGAGAACGATCCAAAAACGGAATGGGGTTTAACCAATTATACACGATAAAATAAGATTATTTACTCTGATGATCCAAACCCCAATAAGAGTCTAAAGCTCAGCAAACTGGAAATGAATGAAAAGGAAAAACAAAAAAGAGGAAGAGAAGATTGAGAAAGTTCGTTACGGAGGATCGGAGGCACTATTAATTATCTCAACTACCCTCTCCGACTCTTCAGTCTTCACTATTCCTAACCTGCTACAGTTGCTGACTTGCTGCCCAGATTTTGGATTTTGGATTTTGGCATATATAATACATGGCCTGAATCACGATTGCATTTTCCTTTATCTTTTATTTTACTTTTTTATTTTTTAAAATAAGGGTTAAATAGATCATTAAATGCACAAAATAAATCATCAAATTCAAAAAAGAAAAGAAAAAATGTAATTGGGTCCTGGAACAACATAAATTTATCTCATTTAATTCAAAATAATATGTTTATCTGAAAGTATATTGATGTGACGATAACCGATTTTAAAAATTACTTTTAAATAAAATAAATAATAATAATAATAATAATAACAAGAACGGCCGCCGGACGGCTTCGTCTCCCTAGCAAAGAAATGAACTTTTTACCCTTGAATAATCGACATATGTTTTGTTTAATATTCACAAAAAGTAAAATTTCTCGCTTCAAAGACTTTCATATTCTACCCCATACAGAATAATAAATAAAGAAAGAATTAATACTATTTGAGGTCCTCCGAGTATAGTGATTTTGCCATGTTTAGTCCTAAACTTTCAAATTGACCATTTGTGATCCTTCGACTTTCAAATTTAATCATTTGTGGTCCTTCGACTTTCAAATTTAACCATTCGTAGTCCAAGTTAACCATCCATGGTCCTTCAAGTTTTGAACTTTAATCAGTTGTGGTCCTCTTGAAAAGACCATGGTTGGTTAAAATTTAATAGTTGAAGGACCATGGGTAGTTAACTTGGACCACGAATAGTTAAATTTGAAAGTCGAAGAATCACAGATGATCAATTTGAAAGTTTAGGACTAAACGTGACAGAACCATTATACTCGGAGAACCTCATATGGTATTAACTCAATAAAGAAATTATACAACCTTGTAGGTAAGAGGACCAATATATGATGCCAATAAGAACTCCATATCCGGCGCTTGTCTTGCAATTCACACAATTCAGCACCTCATTATTTTAATGAAAGTTGAAATTTGCCCCACAAATTCCATGTTCCTTGCTTGTAGGATACGTCTTTGTTTAGAAATAGGAATATGAAAATAATACTTTAACACGTTATTTTATTAAAGGAAGAAAAATAAACCAAAAAAAAAAAAAAACAAAAAACAAAAAACAAAAAAAGTGACCCATTTTATACTCTTTTTTCTTTTGGGTGATGAAAAAATTCATCATCATTACCTGAGTATGTATACCGAGTAAAGTGATAAGCCTCACATTACGACCTATATAGAAAATGGTCATAAGAAGGTAAATAATTATAGGTTGTCAAAATTGACTGACTCAATCCAAAAAATCAAACTAATATAGAGAATGGATCAGCAACAAAAGAAAAATAAAAACAAAAAACATTTTATACACTTTGTTATCTCATTTTATTTGTCTAGTTTGTTTAGATATTTAACTCAATCTATTTACATTTCTTTTTTTATACAGAGTAATATTTAATTTAGTATTAATATATAAAATTTATACATTGAAAAATTACATTAAAAACAATATTAAATACAAAAGGTTGAATTCAAAAATTATAAAGAAATGTTAAAGGAAATAACTAAAGAAAGAAAAAAAAATACAAAAGGTTGAATTCAAAAATTATAAAGAAATGTTAAAGGAAATAACTAAAGAAAGAAAAACTTAATAATAAACATGACACACTAAAATGGAATAGATAGAGTACTTTAATATTGAGTAAAAAGTGTACATGAATTGTATTATTCTCACCTCCCATGCCTCTTTCCAAAAACAAAACTAGCAAGAACATATTTGTTATAAATTCAGTTTCTTGAGTTACTTTCTCTTTGCTTTTCTTCTCTTGAGTTAAATCAATAGTACCATTTACCAAAAATTATAATGACGAGTTAGTACTAATAATGTGTTATAAACTAGCAACTGTGATTATCATACAATCATCCCGATAAATTAAACTAAAGAAGATTGAATTTATAACACATTATCAGTACGAACTCGTCATTATAATTTTTGGTAAATGGTACTATTGATTCCTTTCCCTATGCATTTTATTTAAGAAATGTGTGTCATTGTTTATGTATAAATATTAGAGAAAATTTCAATTTTGGTCACATGACTATAGGGGCTTTGTTAATTTTAGCACATAAGTTTCAAAAGTGTCAATTTAGTACCTTGAGTATGTAATTTTTGTCAATTTTGGTCACTCCGGCCAAATTTGACCGGAAAAATTTAATCCAACATTTAGTCTATAATCTGAGGGGCAAAATGGTCTTTTGATCCTTTCTCCTAATTGTTGTTGAGTCGGTTCAAACACATTTGACCAGGTTCGACTTTAGCTTCTTCGGTTTACATATCTCCGCCGAGGTTTTGGCGTCATTATCCAACAACGGGCTGCCAAAGGACAGCAATGGGTGCCGCTGCATCAGCAAAACAGCTGAATCATTAGTATCCATGGTGCCGCAAGATATTAAGTTTCGGAAAATGCTTGAACCTCTGCCGCCGCTGTCGCCGGCGGAACTGCTTCGGCTCTTGCCGAACGTGGAATTCGAGGTTGTCGAGCACGACGTGCCGCTCTTTTCCTCGTCGCCGTCCTCGCTGCCGCGCTTCTTCTTCGCAAACAGCGAGCGAAGGGAGGAGGATTTCTGATCGGCGTCGATGATGCGCCTTCCGTCATGCAGCTCTTCTTCTTCTTCAAGCTGAACCGGGTCGACAACAATTAGGAGAAAGGATCAAAAGACTATTTTGCCCCTCAAATTATAAACTAAATGTTGGATTAAATTTTTCCGGCCAAATTTGCTGGAGTGATCAAAATTGACAAAAATTACATACTCAAGGTACTAAATGGACACTTTTGAAAGTTAGGTGCTAACATTAACAAAACCCCTATAGTCATGTGACCAAAATTGAAATTTTCTCTAAATATTATATGTACATATGACTATAAGTTTATATTGGAATCTTCAATTCTTGTTTCTGCAAAATGAGTATGGTTCCCTTTGATTTTATTTTATTATCTATATATGTGTGTTTATGATAATAAGAGTAACAATACTTCATGTTTGTTAACTACTTGTGAGTAGATGAGCCCCACATCAAGCCATGAATTTATTAGATATAGATTTGGGATATGTAACAATAGCCTTGATAATTTGATATTAACAATTTAATAAAGGCTCATTCCAAGATTAAATCTTGATCCTCTTACATATTGAGTTGAGTAAGATGTGCTCAGTATAGAAAAGATTGCGATAGTTACAAAAGAAATAATGCTTAGTATTGTTGTCTTGTTGCTAACATCTTGTGCTATGGAATATTCTTTGTTTCTGTTCATGTATGAAAGAGTATTCTTTTAATTCTCTCAAGTAAAAGGGTGTTGCAGTTTGAATTGACTTGAATTTGGATAACAATGATTATATTTGCATAAAAATGCTAAGATACATACGTATTTATGGAATATGATGTTTTCATCCACTATGAACATACATACAATATAGTGTTTAACTCCATGTTATCATCTACTGTTTTGTAAAATTGCATGAAAAATCATGATTTTGTAGATCATATCTTCTATGCCAAACGTGAATTTACTGAGCTCGCACTTGATAGGAGAAATTATTTTAGACTATTGTTTCTAAGTGACAGAACACTAACACCCATAAGACACGAGCTCTTATTTTTTTACATCATCACTTGAATCACGACCTTGAAAATGAACATCTAACTAAAAAAGATTCCCTTATACTAATATGGAAGCCCTTAAAAGATAGTTTCAACCAGCCATCATCAATTATCCTTCCTCAGGCACAATTCAGCTCTGCATAAAATAGTCTCGCAACTAAAACTCTCTAAACAGGAAATTTCAAGAGAAAGATTTAATTGAAAAGACTATGTCTACTTTTTATGCAAATAACCTTGTACTCTACTGTTGGACCTAGGTATCAAATGTTTGTTACACAATAAACTGTATCCACAGTCCATATTCGAGATATACAGTTACATAATAACTATTCAAAAGTGCATATTTCAAAATCAATGAATATATTCACTTAGATTAAAAGGATGTTCACTTTAGAGCTGTGAAGGAAAATTATTCTGGAAAAAATCTTATGCTTATGCTTATACTTGTTTTGTTTCAGTTTCATCATTTTCATTTTTCATAGGATCAGAACTCACAACAGGGGGATTCCTCTTATACTGTGTAGATGTCAGCCGTCTTTCCAAAGGAGTTTTTCGCTTGCTCACAACGAACCTATTAACCCCCTTACGCATTGGCATTATTGATGGGAAGTCCTCATCTGGTATCTGACTAAGCTCAGAGATATCTTTTATCTGTGCTACACGTCGGAACCACCTCTCAGTTTTTGCCTCTTCAGACATGTCCAAGGGATCTGGTTCCTTCACGGCAGACCCTTCTAAGCTCTTTCCTGTCCAGCCACTTCTTAGGTTCTGATTCTCGTGCACCTGGGGTGAACCTCTGTTCAAAACACTGGATTGGGATGCATTATCTTTCTCAGTGTATTTGCTGCCTCCTAGGTCACAATCCAACTTATCAGGAGAATCAATAGAAGGATTATCAATAAGTTGGGGCGGTGATTTTGCAAAATCAGACTGAGTTGAACTGGATGGGGCTTCACTGGTAGGGGTTTGGGGTGAACCTGACCCATCTGGTGAATCCTTCCTAGCAAAGTAGTCAGGAGGAAATGGAACAAATGGGACAAAGCCCTTATTGGTTGCCTGCTCCATAGCCACTTGCCTTTTGTACACTGGAGAGGTTAAAGAACGATCTTTCTTCTTGCTAACTACAAATCGATTTTCTCCTTTACGCACTGGCATGATCTCTGGAAAGTCATCATCAGAGATTGCACCCGGCAAATCTTTGACATCATGCAGTTCTGCCATTTTTCTAAACCACCTCTCTGGTTTTTCAGCTTGCTCTTTCTCTTTATCCTGGCTATCAGCCGTATTCTCCAATGATTTCTCCAGTTCATTGCTAGAAGTAGGGGAGCCAGTTTGGAGCTCACCTTCTGAAGAAAGAGATTCACGTCCCACTGTTTTATACTCTGTATCCTGGAGTTGCTCCCTTGTAGCAAACATGTCAGCAGGTAACGGAACAAAGTTTTTCCCACTTGTATTAGTCTCTATTTCAGCATTTAGCTCAGTAGAAATCTTATCTGGAGTCGAAGAGGAACCACCAAGGATTCGATCTAAACTCTGGCTAATCGCTGAGTCAAGGGTCTTGTCTGCACCACCAGTGCGAGAAGACTTATCTTCTGGAAAGCCATCATTAACCGAGTTCCCTTTGTATTGAAAGTTAGACAGCCTCCTTTCCAAGGGTGTCTTTCTTGTGCTCACCACAAACTTGTTTTCTCCTTTCCTTAATGGCATTATCTCAGGGAAGTCTTCATCCGCTGCCATGGTGTTTATACCAGAAGCATCATTTATTTTACTAAACCATCTCTGTGCTTTCTCTTCATTCTCAGCAAGCCTCTTATCGGTTTCAGTTTTATAAGCATAGCCCCCACTATAACCATTCCCTGAACTGTTATTAACAGTGTTGAATGAAGCCTCAGCAGGTCGTTTGGTATCACATCTTAGGCAGACCACATTTCTTCCATAGTTGAAGAAATCACATCTGGAATTATAGACAAGGAGGAAACATTAAGAAAACAGTTATGATAAATTATAAAAACGCAAAAGGACAATTAGCGAGCCAAGACTCACTTAGGGCATTCCCACTCCCCGCCTGTCAGCTGTCTTCTTGGTCTAGCTTCCTCACACTCAAGGCACTTGATATTTCTTGCAAAGTTCATAAAATTGCACCTGTGTAACATTAAATCAAGTTAAATAGCATAAAGATTTCAAATACAGTAGGAGCTTACTGATTGAAAGTAACTTGATTTAATGTTCTTCCCTCCATTACAAACACACACTACTAACAAAAGAAAATTATATTCTGCTAAAACAACAAAGTATAGAAAGGTCAACTAAGTATCACCTCTTAATTAACCCCCAAAAAAGAGAAATTCAAGATTCGAGAAGTTATCACACCTCAAAAACTAGGAAAAAGAAAAAAACCAAAAAAATTATAGAAGGAAAGAAATAAGAGAAAAAGAAACTAATTACTAATTACTAGGAACAAATTGACCAAGACGCTAATAGAGAGACAAAAGAAAAATCTTTAAAATGTTGGAAATAAATTTGTTACATACTTTGTGCATATCCAGTCGCCTCTCTTCATAACAATGTCTTGTCCAGCAGGCCTTGGTGTTTGTCCAGATCTACTTGGAAACTGGTCAACTCCTGGAGGAGGCACGACAGACACTGGAGTTCCCCAGCTAAGTTCAACCAATTCCTGCAAAAGGTTCCTAATAGATGTTTCTAGCAGTTCCCGACTATATAGAGTATTTCTTCCCGGAGAACCAGCAGGGTTGCTCGCATAACTTAATATATACTTCATAATATCAATTGTCTGTACTTCACTGTGATCCAACGCCTGAAATGTAATTTTATAATTTGGAGTAAGGCAAAACAGAAGATGTGATCAGTGCTGATCAACTAAATGATAAATGACCTAATGGGAAATTACAAAGCTCCAATTCAAACCAGAGGCTTTATCTGATATTTTATTCTTCCCTTTAAAGTTAATGCGGACACATACTCCTTTCTACAGTGTCATTTCTTCCAAACACTTTCCTACCAAAGGAAGTTTGATTGTTTTGGCTGCTTTACCAAATTTTGAGATGGAACTAAACCAGGGCACATCCAACCTCACACACCTTCAATTCAGATCAAGCCCATCATTTAGAGCTTAGGTAAGAGTAAGCCTAAATCAGTACATGTTACAATGAAGGAGCCTTCCCACTTCCCCAGTATTAAGTATGGAATAACAGGTAAGACCTTTCATGCCTAAGTCATATTATGCACCAAGATTCCAAGAAACCATTGTTATATATTAAAAGTGAAATTAATGACAATCAATTCAGAAAATAAAGCATCCATTAACTTACCTGGTTTCCATCAATACCAAGAAATCCCCTCATTCTGCGTGCTGTTTCAAGAGCAGTTCTGAATAGAAAAGGTGTCCCATTTGACACAACAACCTCAATATCCCTCCTAGAAAGTGACCTGTATAATCATTAAAAGGAGAATAAATCCAAGATTTCCTGTATGGCTGTATCATTAATTTTTAAACACAATTTACATATTCTTAGGCACCAACATTTATAATATACTTCATCATTTCCAGCAGAAAATGTTTTCATAACAGTACACTGTGTCTTTAAGCATTTTACCACCAACAAGAATCGTGTCCTTGAAAATTAGTAAAATTACATCCATACTTCATGATAATTTATATACACAAAACATACAGATTAAGTATAAGATTCCCAATAGCTCACTTGCTAGAGAAAACGTAAAGCAATGTCAAATAAGAAGACAAAGGGAATCAAACCTCAACAGGTTAGGTCTTTCACGAGCAAACGCTAAGCACGCAGTCGCAGCCCGAACAAAATCATCCGGCAATTGCTGGTATGCTACAAAGGCATCCTCCTCATGGATTAATCCATGCTCCTCCGCCCGTCCACTGGCGGAAAGCGCGTTGATTAGGTTGCACCATTCTGGCCAAGGGTGAGCTGTAGAAGGAGAAGAGCTAAGTGCGTTATTGCTATTAACTGGAAGGGCCTGGGAGTGGAATTGTTGTTGGGAGGTAGTGATTGGTGTAAGAGGGGACGAGAAGTGGGGAGGCGAATATAAGGCGAGGCGGCGAGGAGCGGTGGCGAGACGGCGGGCGAAAATAACAGACGGCCGATGTAGGAAGCAGCAAGGACGGTGAAGTTTGCAGATGGGTGAAGAAGTGGCAGTGAGAAGTGTAATGAACCTCGAAGTGCCGCTCATTAGGGCGGGAACGCGGCGGAGCACGGCGGCGATAACTATAGAAGGGGTTTAGAGGGGTTTTCTCTGCGCTCTGAGTTAACTATAGAAGCGGCGAGTGGATAGAAATGCAGCGGGGCCAAACTTGTAATTGTAGGTTCTGATTTTTTTTTTTTTTTTATTCTTGTTTTAAATTATGACAGTATAAATAGTTTAGTGAATTGCATAGATAACCCTATACTTCACTAGATTTCACAAATCTCCCCTTCAAATTTAAAAAAGGTTAAAGTGTCATCCCAAACCATGAACTATTCCTGATTATTCATGCCGCATCATGATCTTTAATAAGTGATATTTCGAGCCATAAGTCATAATTTTTTTCGTCTAAAATTTTTTATAGATTTTCCGGTAATCCTGATGACATGAAGAAGAAGAAGAGAACAAGATCGGCTTTAGGATATCGCCATTGGAGCACGAAGTGGAGAAGATGGAGGAGTTCGTGAGAGAACGAGATATGTGAGTTGGAGTCCCTTACGATTCTTTGGGTGGAAATGCTTTTACCCAATCACTGTAAGTATGTTGTTGAAAGATGCACTAATACAACTCCAGTGACGAATGAGCCATCTACCTCTCAAAAGCACACGAAGACGACGTAGAAATGGCCACATTGCTAAGAAAAATCAGGAAGCTCATGAAATCGAACAAATTAAAGAGCGAAGTCTCAATTCAGAAGGGAACTCATCAGCGGACCAAGTAAGGGTTCTTGAAACATCTGATTATGAGTTTGATAAATTATGTTTCCACTAGATCAAGGAGAATGGCATCTTTCCATTCTTTATGATTGTTTGGATTAAGGGTGGGAACATCAATGTTCATGACACTTGGTATAATTGCTGAAAAAATTATTAGTTGGTTAGAATTAGAGGCACATAGGAATTGAAGTGATGTCGTCTATATTTTAATAATTTATTTATGTAATATACGTAAAACTGGCGTCATATCAATTTTTTTTTTTTAAAGTTAAGCGTCGTTGTTTTTATGAAAATTAAAAAAAAAAAAAAAAAAAAAAAAACCTGACATGATGATACGACGACGTCAGGTTTCCTTGAATTTGAAAATCGACATCGTATCGTTGAATATTTAAAAAAAAAAATTAATTAGCCACAAGAAAGATGTAATGAGCAAACCAGTAACTTCAAAGTACCGGTCACCAAAGTTGCAACAAGGTTTTGTAGCCACGGCTATCTGCAACACTTATTTCGAAATTTCTCAATATAATATAAGATTCTTTATTCAAGTTTGAATATTACGAGAACTCTATTTTTTTTATTCCATGTCAACTTGGACAAAACATGTACAATCAAATCTTTTCAATTGTTCTCATATTACTTATCAAAATTTTGAAGTACAAATCTTCAATTCACAATCAATAACATGATCATTACAAATACAAATAATTACAATTTCGATTTGTTTAAAGGTACAAAAATTATTAACTTCAAATGCAAAATGTGTTAATTACAAATACAATTAATTTTTGGACCAAGATTTACATTGTAATATGATATATAATCCATGCTATAACAATTGTTATATTTGGTGTCTATAATATTTAAAACAAACTTTTTTATATAAAATGTTTAGGAGCTGCTAAAACGCATCAACCAACAGGTATTTTCAAATATGGGGATATTGTTGGCTGTTAATAATAATATGTTATAATAGTGTTATGTTACATAGTTTATATATTTGTAGTCTTATATTAGTTAGTTATTCTAGTCTATTATATAGGAGAGTTAGGTGGTAACTTTCATACAAGTTTCTACCTGAAAATGAAAATATTTAACTAAGAGTAATTATTTTATCTGAGGATATTGACATCCGTACTGGCATCAACATTGAAAGTCATACAATTTCCATTTTCCATACAACTAGTATTTTACTCGTGCGATGCACGGATATGACTTATACAATGTTAAGAAATGGTATTTTTTTTTTTAGGAAACCAATGTGGTTGCATTTATAGATAGCTTGAAACTGAGTCTGGTGGGATAGCATCCCAATACATAGGTAAATCGTAATTAAAAGCATCCGAAGCTAAAATATGCGCTAAATAATTATGCGATCTAGGAATAAAATTAACTGAACAATAATTAAGCATCGCCATATATGCTCTGCAAGCATCAAGAGCATAACCAAGATAAGATCGAGACCGAGTCTCAGTAGAGGACAGATATGCCTGGAGTGTGTGACAGTCCGTGAACATTTCGATCAAAGTTTTCCCACGTGTTCTGAGCCATGACAACACTTCTTTGCATGCCATAGTTTCGGTCATAAGTGGCGAGAAGCAATTGTGCAAGGACGCACTGTAAGCAGATATATATCTTCCATGGTCGTCGAACAAAATTGCACCTACTGTGGCTGAGCTTGATTGTTTTAAGAAATGTTATTTAAATATTAACATATATAATAAATTGCAAAGGTACTGATTTTTCAAGATAATATTAAAGTTATGATTCAAGAAAAGAAATGCGTTAGTTTTTAAAGAGAATTCACGGTAACACACTTTATTATAAAAAATAATGCATGTCAGAATTTATTAATCATTGACTGAAAATTACAAATTATTAAATACTTCGTGGTATACACAATATTTGTAGTTGAAGTAGGGTGGGTTTCATCTTCGTTGCCAATAAAAAATTCTAAACCATTAGGGTTGTTAAATCTTGATGCAGCAACGTACACTTGACATGTACAAACACTGGTTTCTTCAACAGCAGGCCTACATGAGATAATGTATGGCCTTGACTTTTGTTTATAGTCATTACGTATGAAAGCACAAGGAGGAATTGTTTTCTTTGAAATTTGAATGGCAATCTTGGATCTGATGAAGCATTGACATTCTAGGTATTAATATAAATATGTTTTTTTTTCTTATAACTGTGCAACCTATGAGTTTCATTATCTGATACAATTTAATCAATTTCATCTTTACAAATCTTTATTCATTGGTAACATGCTATCATTTTACTAATTATCATTGGTATTTTACTGTCAATCTCATAATAATTATTCTGTTCTTCGGACTATATATGAGTCTCTATTTTTCAATAAAAACACTTAGCTGTAAATCTGCTTAAAATCGTAAGCTGTACATATTTTTTGCAAACAATTGAGAGAAGGGCTGTTAGATGTTAGATGATACCTTTGTTCTGAGAAGGGTGTTTCTTTTTCCTCCCTATCACAGTTTATCTTGTAAGTTACTTCATTCTTCTCAGATGCAGTTTATGTTCAAAATGAATATATATCCTCGATGCCCATTTTATATGCATACGACCCAGTTGCTTCCTATTAAAATTCGAATTCAACATGCATTTAATAGCATAAAATTGCAGCGTTCTTTTTTCCTTGGAATACTAAAATATTAGCCAACTATTAATTAGAATGAAGCTTGAAATTCTAAAAGCTACTGGTACTAAAAGTTTAGCCTACTATTAATTAAAATTTTCCTTGGAATTCTTATTGGAATTCTAAATGCTACTGATGTGTGGTAAAACTATTACAAAAAAAATCTAACTCTAAACGTGCTGTTTTGAGATGGGCGGAAACTTTTGATCAAAATTCATTTACTACTTCTTATGGCTTTTTTATATTAGAGGATGTGCTCCGGTTAACCCTCCTTCTTTATGTTTCAAGGGTTAGTAATTCGATAGTTTAAACAAGGTAATCTGATAGTTTAAAGAGTTTAAAGTTTTAATTTCTGGTGAACTTAGAGGTTTCTTAATCACTAGTCAAATGTTGTTTACAAAGAAAGTTTTAATAATTTGTAATTTTATTTTATTTTTAATGTGAGCAAATATTTTTAATTTGTAATTTTATTTTGTTTTTAATGTGAGCAAATATTTTTAATTTTAATATATATTTTTTAATTTGTAATATGTTTAAGTTTAATACAGTATAATTAATGATAAAGATATTGTTTTTTTTTAAACAATAAAGATATTATTTTTAAGTATGCCATAGATTTTAGATTGTCAATATATATATTAGTTGTAACTTCTTTCTATAGGCTAGGATTATTCTTAGTGTAATTATCTACTTAATTCTCTACAAATTTTCTTATATATTTTGTATGATATAGTGATATACTATAAAATCTATATATCCTTTTATACAATTTCTATATATATAGCCAATTTCTCATTACACTACTTAAGATACAAATATTTTATGCATCTATAGGGTATTGATGTTATATACGACACCTACCATCTTAGAAGGCCAATCAAAATATTTCAAACTTTCAGATTCCTTAGCTCTATATAAAGAGTAACCTCTAAAGTCTAAAGCGTTGAAGAAGGTTGAGAAAATTATTACTAGTTACCAATGTAAAATGCATTAGAGATTTTATGTACAAATATACATGTATGAAATTACTAAATGTGAAGTTATGAATACAATAAGAAACAAGAGAAGTTCATATTGTAAAAACAAAAAAAAAATAAAATTATTTTCCTTTGAATTGGGTTGAAGTGTCTAAAGCTTACAATGTGAAAGTTACACCTAATGTGGTGAGTTTCTTGTGTGAAACGGTGACACTATCCTATGAAGTTGGAATACTGTAGATGAAGGAATTCGCCTTTTTTTGGACAAATTGATTATAATTGATGAAACTATGAAAAAAAAAAAAAAAAAAAAAAAAAAAAAAAAAAAAAAAAAAAAAAAAAAAACCAAAAGAGGGAAGAAATCAGCATAAAACAGCACAATGCATTCAATTCTTATTTTCATAATATTCACAATTTCCCTATACACAAAGAACCCAACCAACCATGCAACAAATATAATAAAACACAGCACCCCTACAAACACACAACCTAAACAATTTGCTTCAAACATTTCCCCACTCTTCTCCCCATCTTCACAGCAGCTATACACTACAAAATACACAAAATTGCAGACAAAATTTACAGCAAAATGAACCAAAAAACAATGTGTTTAACCAACTGAAACACCTCAACAACTTTATTTAACAATGGAAGCAAATTCTGGGAAGCTTTAATTTCTTCGCGGAATAAGAGCAGCCCTTAGCTCCATTTTGTGGCGCAAAAAAAACCCAGATTTTCACTTACGCCACAGTGGTTGCTCTAGTCT